TGCTACGAGTCTCGGCGGGGAGATTCTCCCAAATTGCGGTATTCACTTTTGGAGCGTCCATCAAAATGCAATTTGCAGGGCATGGGTACTTGGTAGCTGTTTCTTCAATTGTTTTTTCCTCCAAATTATGTCCCATCAAATAAGATGCGGAGTTTGCTAGCTCTGAATCGAGCGGCTTCCCCACGCCTGTTGGCACTGCAAATTTTGCGGCGAAGGAGGGGACCGGAGCGTCGTCGCTGTCAAGCCCAAATCCAGCGGGTTCCTCACCGGGGATTCCTCCGTGTTCCTCACCGGGGTTTCCCCCGTAATCGGCTTGCAGCGGCCCGCTGCTACCCGCTGCCATGTCATGATCATGGTTATCCCAAAATTCATCCGCCGTTGTGAAAACGTTGTCGCCTTCCCGCTGAAAATGCGGATTTTCTGAAGACGTAGACGTAAATGTCTGTTTGGGCAATGCATCTACCACTTTAGTGAGGAGTCCCTCAAAGTGATTCAGCCGCTCTTTGAGCGATTCGATCTCGGGATTTGGTTCCACATGCTTTTTCTTGGAACTACATTTTTTCGGCGTAGTTAGTGAGGTAGACGCTTTTTGCTGAGTCGGCACTGTCGAGCGCTTGGGCTCAGGATGACAGGCTAGTGAAACCCCCGCACCAGGCTTGGCTGGATGCGACGGCACGTTCTCGTTTGCTTTGCCGGGAGCACGCTCCCGCTCGGCCGAGCCCGATTTATCTCCTTCTGACATTTTCTTCTTAGAAGTAGACATGAATTGAAAGTTGTCTAGCAGAATCAGTATAATCCAGAAAATAATCCAAATTGGAAGGGGCTAACTAAAACCCAGAAAAACTGACGAAAAATCGATAGATTGACGAGTCGATTGTAGTTTCCTGCAATCATTGACCACGCGAGGAACGAATTGACTTACATGCTAGAGCGGGCTTCTCACGTAGTCTCCGTCGAGACTTACGAAATAAAATATATATTCAAAAGCAAAAATTCAAGTATTTTAGATTTTTCATGAATTCCAGATCAAGAATGAGAAATCTCCTTGATAACAGAAAACATGAAGGTTTTGAATCAACATTTTATGCCTTTTAAAATAAATTTTACAAAATATTTTCAAAGATGCTAACAGCTTTCCATAATTGTTGAGTCCAACTTAGGATCTTTGTGAAACACCCCCCTGGGCATTTCCCAAAATTAAGTGATTAAAGATAACGTTGAGTTCGGGTCCTAAAGGGCATATTATGGGTAACAACAATGTCTTCTTCTTCATGTCAATGGATTTGAACTTGTTTTGTGAGATTCAAAATATAAACCTCTTTGTTTGATTGTTCTTAAGAAAGGCAATTAATTCCTTGTTTTCCATGGCCATTGTATCAAATCAAAATCAAATCATTTCAACATTGATTATTATCATGCAATAAAGGAAAGTTTCTTTCCATGAGGAATTAGTTACTTAAAATACTACTTGAGTGTTGCAATGGCAGCCATGCTAAAGCCGGGTAATAATAATGGAGCGCCAACAGTGAAAATTTGCCAGATACAAGCGCTTTACAAGACTCCACTATTATTATTAATATTATTATTAAGTGACCCAAACATGTGTAGATGCAAGGAAAACACAACACATCAAATACCTTTCTGGATAGATTAATGGATTGATCCTATGCTTCCGTGACAACCATTGCAGGCTTTATTTCGTCAAAGAGCTTACGTTATGGTAAGGGTTAGGGTTCACTATGTTGACCTGACAATCGAAAAGCCCTTCATGACCATGGAAGAATCGTTGCGGGGCAGTAGACTGGTTTACACAAATATTCAAATTTTACACATATTTTTCAAACAAAGGTTGTTCTTGACAACCTGATAGATTGTGCTCAAGGCTTGCCCAACATAGCAACAAATAATGTATGCCAACTGGATTCCAAGTATTGTAGTTAATTAATTATTAACAGGTTAAGGGAATACCTCGTCATGAGGAACCCAGGAAATAAACATCCATATATTATACAGTAGGCTTACGGTTGCACCCTGTTAGAGAGGAGGGAGGATTGGGGAGTCCTGAAAAGGACTGTCGGTAATCTTTCTTGAACTTATAGTTCTAAAGAAAACTATAGCACCGGTTGAATATATTAGTAAACCTGTCTATGAAGCATATTTCAATCAGTTTTATTAAATTATGTCATTCCAGTTCAGTGAGTTCCCTTTTTACGAAACTGACCCCAATCAAAATTTCCATTATTAAGATATGTTGGCCATGGACTGCAAGCAATTGAAGTGCAAGCTATTGCCATTATGTAGATGCAATATTACAATCTATTACATTCATCAAATTAAAGTATAGCGTTGGAGCAAATTATATATTTTTATTGGAGGTGTGAAGAAGTGAGAAATGCTCGTTCTCCGAATAGAGCATTAAAGTTACATGTCTGTGTTAATGTTTTTCTTTTTCTTGGGTATTGAATTTGGAAGAAGAAAAAACGAAAATCTGTTTTGTTATCTTTCTTTCTCTTCTTTTTATCATCCTCTCTTCATGAACCATTTCCCAATCCCCATTTCTATTTTTCACTTTGTTGTTCAATATTTATTTTATGAGGAAAGAGTTGGGGGGGGGGTGGGGGGTGGGGGGGGGGGCAGAGGGAGATGGTTGGCATCATTATCATAATGACAATAATGATAGATGTAAGGTAGTTGAAGTTTTGTCTAAACCATGAATCCCCCTCCCCCTACCTCCATTTTTTCTCTTCATTTTGAAAGTGCCCTAATTACAAATCAGGGCATTTTGTTGGACTGTTCAGGGTTGGTATTCAGATTTTTTTGTTCATTTCTTTTTTTTATGATTTCCATTAACTTAAGTGAATGTACTATCTCCTGGATACAAAATTGTTTGTTCCTGTTCTTGTTGTTAGGGGGGGGGGGATGGCTAAAAGTAAATGCATTTGTCTTTATTTTGTCATTTTTCATTTGATACCTTTTTAGATAATTAATAATCAATGATAATAAATCTAATGCCAAAAGCTGATTCTTTTTTAATACAGTTGTGTATCTTATTTATTGATTGATTAATCAATTCATTGTAATACCAATTAGTTTATTTATTCATTTTTTGTTGTGTATTTATTTATGTGTTTTATTATTGTCAATTTTTTCTGTGGATATATGAATTTTATAGAATTACTGATCCAGTGATTATGGAAAGAGCTGTTATGTTAATTTACATTTCTTTTGAAGAAATAGGACCAAACGTTGTTAAATTGTTAAATTATAAAATTGGCTATTTCTAATCGACTTAACATGACAAAAAGAGGAATATTGATATTGTTGATTTTTGCAAAACTTGTGAAAAGTTTGGAATAAAATAAGTCTCTCACCCTCTCTCTCTCTCTCTCTTTCTCTCTCTCCCTCTCTCTCTGCACCCTCTGATGAGAGTATAGAGATCTTGCTTATTGTATTATTGGAAAGGACTTGTTTGTAAGTCCACAAATTGATTATGAACAAGGTACATATAATAATTTATGAAAAGCTTGTACTTTATCCAACTTCTCACACTGGTTTTTGTCTCATCTATATTTAACGCCACATTTGCTTCTTTTTTTCCCTTCATTTTCATCTCTTTGCAGTTTATAATTGTTTTCCAATTTAGTTGAGCTCTGTATTTTCCTCTCTGTTTTACAGATACATGTAATTGTCATTTAACTGATGCACTTTTATTGTTACATTTTTAACTAATAGGATTATTATCCATACAAAGCTTGATCTTTGTTTTCCTATCTATACAGCTGATAGTCCTTTGCATGTTGCACTGTTAGAGTTTATTTCCCCCTAATAGAGAAGAAAATACCACTCAAGGTATACAAGGTCAAAGGTGAACATTCAACTGATGATATTCCTTTTTTGTTCTTTTTTGTTTGTTAATGTATCAATTGAAATGATGATGTAGACAGAAAAAGAGAATAAAACATTATTGATATGCAACTTATGGACATCTAAGGAAAGCTTATTATTGAACATGGGGGCTGTTTCACAAAGACTAAAATTAACTTTCAGTTGGACTATGGCAGACCGTTCATGCCACTGTTTGCTCTCACCACTGTTTGCTCTCACCATTATGATTTTTACATAATTTTTTTTCCTTTGATAATGAATTATCAAAAAAATGTAAATTCTATAGATTTGTGACCATGATTTGTACGTCCCTTGAGAGACCAAATGTGCCAGTAAATGGTGAGAGCAAACAGTGGCATGAAGGGCCTGCCATAGTTAAGTCCAACTTAAAGTTAATCTTAGTCTTTGTGAAACACCCCCATGGTGTGGATTGATTCACTTGGGTGTTTATGTCTGAAGAGCGTGACCGAGAGTTGACCATTTTTACCCCCCAATAATAGTGATTATGAAAAGTACAAGTCAAACACATGATTGTATGAAAAAACAGAGCCGTATTGAATGAACGAATGAATGAATGGATAAGTAATAAATTAATAAATCAGTAAATAAAATAAACGGATGATTCAATATGAACAAATGAGTATTGAGACAAACAATGTACATAACGAAAAAAGGAAATTGAATCGGGAATATATCTAAATATATAAATATGTGTCAGTTAATCAATAAATGTATCAAAGAATTAATAAACAAATAGATAGAGACCTTATCATTAAATTTATAATTTACATAATAGCCCTGCCCCTTATTGATCTGTGAATGTGAGCAGCATATCAAGATAATACAAGTTTTAATTTGTTGAATTTGAAGTTTATATTCAATTGTTCCATATTTATTATGAATAAAACAAATCTGACCGAGAACCTAACATCAATTTGTCTTACAATTGGTATTGTTTCAGGCTTGCACAATAGTCTTACATAAAGTATTCTTATTAGTTTTCCGGTAAGCACAACAACAACAAAATTGGGTTTGATTTGGGAAATGAAACCTCGACCTCGTGTCGGGCCTAGTGTACCCGACAGATAAATATATATGCAGAGCTGCCCTCTACGTTCGAATTACAACGTTATCATCGTGCTTAAAATGGCAGACAAGAAAGTAGTAAAAATGGGCAATGCCAAAAAGATGTCTCATGAACAAATTGTGGCTGGCTTCAACCAATTGAGGCAAGATCAGAGAGCACTTGTTTCCAAGATTGCAGAGCTAGACTCCGATCAAAATGAACACAGGTAACTAATGATTAATTTGGTCGTACATATCGAAAGTCAATGACGCCCGAGTGAGCACGGTGAAGAGTTATTCGTGACCGTTTCGCTAATGCATCGCCCTCCCGAAGCGCCAGGGGTTGCTTGCCATCCTTCCCCGATAGTGGGCCGTGAGTGTGACTGAGTGTATGGATCTGAATCTGAAAATGATAATGCTCAACACACTTGTAATGGAGGAAAACGAGTTGGACTGGGTGTGTGCATGAAACAATAAAATAATACTAGCCTATTGCTATATTGGAAATACTGTTGGAGGATAGGAGCGCTTGTCAGTCTCAGTCAGATAGGCAGGCTCACGTAAATTTTTATTTTTCGCGATAGGTAATGAAAGTAACTCTACCTCAAATGGTAGGTTTAGCCTCATGCAACATTTTTGGGGGAGCAACACTGCCTAAAATTCAAGGATTTAATTTTTTTTCCTTGCAATTAATTGTGCATGGCCAGCCGTCGGCTTCGAGAGCATCATCACTTCGCTTGCGCTTGCGCTTGCGCTTGCGCTTGCGCGATGATGACTCACTGCATGCCGCATGGTGATGAGCGGACCGAGCAGATCGCGTACGCCTTGAGACTGGGCATGGTAACGGCGCGCTGTAACTGCTTTGCCCGGAAAATTACCAAAGCGCCCGGAAAATCCCGCGAACTGAGCGCCGGGAACACTGGCGGAGCTGATTTCATGATTGAACAGCCTCCGGGCAAACAGGATTCGCTTTCATTCGCAAGGAAGAACCCCGTCGACATCGGTGTTAAATTGAAGGTTATAATTCCCCCCTCACGGTGATACTTGAATTATCAATGTGCGAGGTAGAAAATTTTAGATATTGATACGAAATCTGACAGAATTCAGTGAAATATGGTACTTACAAGTGATTTTCTGGACCAATTTGGGGACTTTCACAAAGTTTATCGCACAGCAACTTGTCAAGGATGTTAGTACATGTTAGTACATATAGATAAATATGCCATACAATGTTAAAATCGCCAGCAGTGTTTCGATTTGTGGAACAATTAGCATTACAAGAACGTCATATCAACGCTCGATAGAGCCTCTTGATGTCTGAGGCCGGTCGCAACTTTTGTACAGCAAAACGAATAAAAAAAAAAGCGCCCTCTTGTGACGCATGAGCGTGCCAATCTCAGAGAAGGAAATTTGTCTGCATAATAAACTAACAAGGATATCCTCGTAAATGCTGACAAATCGCGCCCTAAAATTAAAAATAAAGAAGGATAGATCTAGTCTGCACATTAATGCAAAAAACAGATTCTGGTAATAAAATACCCCCAGTTCACCGTCTACTTTAATTATGGGTTGTCTGTCTTCCCAAGGAATTATCATTCGTTCTGTGAAAGTCTTGAGTGTGAAACGAACCAAGCAGCAGCATGGCAGAATCTTGTTTTTGCATTGCCAATAGGGGCTTAGGGGATCAGAAATGAGAATCTTCCGGAAAATGTGGATGATTCTTATTTCTTACAAAGAAGACCCACGTTTATGCGAACGATCCTTATTCTCTAACCAGCGCCTACTGATAAGTTAACTTAATGTGTGATTTATCATTTACATTACGATAACCCTGACCTCTTACAAGAGTTTGCAATGTTTGTTCCGGCGCAGAGTTAAGCGCAATACCCAAGTGTGTGCCTTTTTACAATAATTGCTATTATGGTAAAGTAGTGTATTACGTAATTTATAAGTATTGCTTGAATTTGAGGTAGGGAAAGTAGAAAAATACTAAAATAGCTTACAATATGCGGATCTGTTTTACGTTCAACTGGTCTCAGCCATATTTTTCCATGCTGCAACAAGAAGGGCCCTTCTGATTGGCTAATGCTGGCTGCCAATCGCTCATAGTTACATGTATAACATATTAATAGAGCGAGGAGAAAGCTTATGCTTTTGCATTTGACCTCATACCAAACTTATTTTACTTAAGTTTCAGCCTTTATAAGTTTGATAAATTCTCATTTTGTCATATTTAAGCTACAAACTTGCAAGTTGACTAATATGTTTGTTGATTTTATCTATTGTATGTGTGTATCTATGCTTAGTGTGCGTCAGTTACATTGTATGTGTGAAGTGCGTCACCTGTTTAAAGCATGACATGTCAGTGTGTTCTCTGCTTACAAGTGGGCCCTTTCTCACTTAAAAGTAAAAAGAGCTCGGTGATCGGCCAATGGGAGGTGTTAATTCACTGTACAATGCTCAGTGCGTAAAGTTTTTACCTGTAGGGTGTCTGAACAATTTTTGGTTCGTTTTTCACAAGTATGGTTGAATTATTAAAAACGATGGAATCAATGTTTTAATCACCGTTTTGATCAAGATATTTTTAGAGCTCCAAGTTGACCCTTTATGGGCATATGGAGCAAAATCGTCTCTTTCATATGACACTTCGTTTGTTGTGCATCGCCTTCAGGATCACGAGCAACAAAGGTGAACTGAAAATCACAATTTGGTAATAAAAACGTTGACTGATTTTGCATGAGTGGCAAAGGTTTTAAGCACACAAAACCGAGTGCGCGATCAGACTCTCTACTCGAAGGGTGTACAGTATGTTGAATGATGGCAAATTTCAATATTGAATATCTAAGATTCGATATATGTTTTCATATTTTGGGGGATATCATGCAGCACTACTTAAAGGTATCGAAAGGCCAATCTTTTTTATCACAGTCGCATGAGTCCTGAATATATTTATTTTAACGAGACTATTGTGTACGATTAGGTTTCAGAGTGCCGTGTTCAGCAACATTGTGCTTGGTTCCGCTATGTACAGCATTAGTTTGTAATGATCAAAATGAAAAGAAGTGGACTTGGGTCTTCCAGAAAATCGCATGTACTGCACACAGAAATAGATGCATGGGACTACACAAACATGTCATAGGAAAATTTGGTCCAATGTTTATATGTTTTTTTCTTTATTTGAGTGTGAGGTCATGTTAGGTCTTTTGAGGAGCAATTTCTTTTTCCTAGGAACATTTCTACCATGAAATTCTTTGCAAAATGGCACATAAAAAATAAGAAAGTTCACAATTATTTTTCACCATTTAACTAAACTGAACCTCTTTAACTTTTCTCCTTTGAATCCTTTTAATCCAAGGTTGGTGTTAGAAACCCTTCAGGAGGTAGATGGAGAGAGGAAGTGTTTTCGTCTGGTGGGCGGAGTTTTAGTGGAAAGGACGGTGAAGGATGTTCTTCCGGCATTAACACACAATAAAGAACAGGTATGCTTTTAAAAGGGAAGTCCACCCTGATAACAAGTTTGTTTTATTACAAGGAGATATATTATGTGAAGAACAGATCAGTGAAAGTTAGAGAAAAATCGGACAATAATTTATGAGAAAGTAATGGATTTTTAAAATCCATAACTTTTCATGAAATCCTGCAAATCTTTGAGTCAAATTGGCTACGTGGTTTCTTTATATGGCTTTTTTTTCCTTTTTTTTCTTTGTTTCTTTTGGGGTTTTTGAGGGGCAAATGGCATTCAACTCTGTTCACTTGTTTTTTCCATGTTGCACAAGGGTTTCAAGGAGTTGTTTGTTTTGTGTTTGTCTTTGTTTTGAATTGTTTGTATTTTCATACTTTTTCAAAACCATCAACCAAGCAAAATTAAGTTGCCTATATACTGTAAGGGTCTTGGCATTAGATGATTTACAATTTTACATATTAATACAAATGTCAAACTCACATGAAATACATATAGCCTGAAAGTTGAACTGTAAATGTTGAATGAAACAGTTCACCCCTGCTACTTTCAAGTTTCATTGTATTGTTGTTTTTAGGGAGCCATGACCACATATCGCCACCACAAGTTTTCTCTAATGATTGCTCATTTTAAATAGGTATTAGAAGCAAATCTGCCACAGACACGATCACAAAACCTTAACAAATCTACCAGTAGCCGTGCACATCACCTTATGAAATATGTGAAGGGTATATTGATTCATTACATAACCCGGCGAGGACCTAAAGCTGTCGGTCCTCTGGTTGCTTTTACTAACAAGCATTTATGCTTTCTTAGCAGTCAAGTAAAATAACCACCACCACCACTAATTCTACCCGCAGTACAGAAGGGCATTGAGATTGCCCTTGTTGAGTTATTGAAAGTCTTTGCATTCATGTTTACTGATGGTCCCTCTGTCTCTCTTCCCGTCTCTCTCTCTCCGTCTCTCTCTTCTCTCTCTGTCTCTCTCTTCTCTCTCTCTATCCATCTCTCTCTCTCTCTTGCTCTCTCTCTCCCAGATTGAACAGCTCACCAAGGGCCTGACCAAACAGATGGAGAGCAAAGGTCGCGAAATCAACGAGTACCGGGAGAAGCATAATCTGAAAGTACGGGGAGAGCAGCCCGCGGACCAGGCGCCAACAGAAAAGGCAGATTCGTCGGGCTCAGCAGGGGTTTTAGTATCTCAAGAAACGTAGTTATTGTAGACTGATGCCAGCCAGCCACCCACTTTGACAATAATACAACAAGATATCATTGTCCGTTCATAAAAAAGGCCAATTATTTATTTGCATCGCAGAGAGGACATTTGGGTATCGTTTATGACGATGACCCTAGTCATTTGCTATAAAACCTCTTGCGAAAATCTTGAAGGGATAAATCAGCCGTACCCTTTCGCTGCAATAGAGGAGAAGTCCATGCTATTCCTTCCGTTACCAACTACAGAAAGATTCAAATTTATCCACAATTGCCACTCTCCACCCGGGTGTAGTAGTGGGTACCTGGTCGGAATTTATTCCTTGAATGCTTTTTAGTGCCTTAGGGCAGCTGGGCAAAAGCCAGGGTAATAGTACTACAGTCAAACCTGCTTTAGTGACCACCTGTCTACAAAGACCCCTTGTCTACAAAGACCACTTGTCTACAAAGACCACTTGTCTACAAAGACCACTTTTTGTGTTTCCCTTGAAAATGGTTTCTCATTGAAACATGTACTAAAGGAACCTGTCTACAAAAACCACATTTTTTGTTTCCCTTGAAAATGGTTTCTCATTGAAACATGTACTGAAGGAACCTGTCTACAAAGACCACCTGTCTACAAAGACCACTTGTTGTGTTTCCCTTAGGCGGTCACTATAGACAGGTTTGACTGTTCTTTATAGGCACCTCGAGCATCCCCTGGGATGGATATATAGCTGCTATAAGCCAGTTTACGGTTGCAGTCTGAGCATGAGCAGATAAAGGTCATTTGTACCAAAAAGGTCATTTGTACCAAAAAGGTCATTTGTACCAAAAAGGTAAAACCCACAAAGATGAATACTGGATATGCGCTCATGAAAGTTATGTCACATTATTCATTTATGCTCCAACGGTACATTCTAAGATACGCAGGTGGAAGTATTCTTTTCAAGAGGGCAAACAAAAAGTATTCATGAAGCACATCTAGGACTTTGGCAGTTATTATTCTGATATGCTCAAAGTGGAACTTCTCCATGTGGAAAAGATCTGTGGATATTTGGGGTCATTTGTACCATGTGCTATCTGTAAACTCCCTTATTGATATCACTATTATTATACTATTATTATAGTGAAAGTGGATGGCTGGCAACTCTGGTTGTTTTATGCTTGTGTGATATATTCTGGGTAGGGAATATGATTGTATTTGTGTGCAGAACTGTTCAGATTCATCTTCCCCCTAACTCTAAATGGTTCGACTCTGTGAGAGATGCCATGGAAAGCCTCTTGGCTTTAATTTTAAGCTTTTCCCGGGTGATAGTTGACAGGGACATAATTCAATTACAGAGATGACATGTAGTATACAGTGAAATACATGGGGGCTCTGGCAAATTAGCCCCCGAAATGCCCAAAAGAGCCCCCGAAAGTCATAAAAGAGCCAAAAAAAAATTGCATAGAGTTCAATGCAGAACAAATTAACAAGAGTCATAAAAGAGCCAAAAAGAATTTGCGTAGAGTTCAATGCGAAAACAAATTAAAGAGTGTTATTTTCATGCAAGCAAGCTTGAAAAGTAGCCCCCAAAATTTTTGAAGTATTTTTTTTCCCTGGTAGTTTAATGGGTGGCTCCATTGGGAAAGGAATACCTTTTGGTCATTTACCCACATAATAGATCTCTAAGCATTGAGAGTGGATTTCACTTTTACAACAGACAGATCTTACCGTAATGGGCACCCCTCCCCAACCAATTTCCGGGAAATTTATCATCGTGAACCTCCCTCCCGATTTATGATTGAAGGCTTTCCAAGCAAGTTTTAAATCATTTCCAAGTAAGCCGTGGGTTCCGTTGCGTGCAGCGTAAATAGGTGATTTCACCAAGTCTGGTTTAAGGACGTTCCGTGGTAATGTCTGTGCTCACTTCGGCTACGCTGGGCAAGCTGGTTAAGTATTCACCATGGACGATGCCTGGAGTTCCTGGGGGTGTTTCACAAAGGTCCTAAGTTGAACTTATCTCTAAGTTGGACTTAACATTTATGGAAAGCCGTTAGCATCTTTGAAAACAATTTGTAAAAGTTCTTTTAAAAGGCATAAAATGCTGATTCAAATCATTCATATTTTCCATTATCAAGGAGATTTAATGTTCGTGCTGTGGAATTTATGAAAAGTCCAAAATACTTGAATTTTTGCTTTTGAATATAAATTATTTTAAGGCTACAAATGGCTCTCCATAATTTTTAAGTCCAACTTTGAGTTAAGTTTGACTTGGGATCTTTGTGAAACACCCCCCCCCCCCCCCCCCCCCCCAGGTGTTGTGCACAATAAATACATGTATGATCAGCTGGCCCTGGGCTGGTAGGTGCGAACAAAGATTCCTAAGGAATGTTTTGAAGCAAACTGTGTGGAAATACACAATGGAAACTTGGTGATGTATGTCTTTAATGGATTTGCTTGTATATCTGGATTTTACTTTATACTTTTATACCGTCTGTTGACAATCCAGAAGGGTATTCAACCATTTGATTTACAAGTAGTGTAGGCCCTTCTGGGTCTCGGCAGGTGACTTGGTTCCAATGGTCAAGGAAAACCTGGAAAAGCTAAGGAAAATGCCTTCTTCTTGAAAATCATAGAAAATGAAAAAGGAAAATCTCCCAAAGTTATGGAAATTCATGGAAATTGATTGTTAGTGTGGGCCGCGTGAACAATGGGTGTTTGGATACTTCGACCCATATCAAAATTGTACATATCTGGTCATGGAAAGCCATGGAATGCCGTTCTCTAATTGATGTGGGAACCCTGTATGTGCATGCGATGATTTTAAATGTTATGTTGAAGCAGATATTCTCGGACGTTAGATTATTTGGGATCACATATTTCTTTAACACTTTTGTACATTTTCTTAATTATAAGGGTATTGGTTATATGAAAATATAGCTTCTAAAGTCCATGTGAGACAGCAGTGATTGTGAATATTTATAACCAAACATGAAGACATGCAACAGCAGTAAGAATGAGATTGGTCAACATTGAATGTTACTGGGGATTTCTTATCCATTTACTTAGTTCAAATTTACTTGCATGGGTTAAAGTTATGCTGTACAAGCAACAGTTAGTTTCAACTAACACTTTGCTGGAGACAAGGAAAATTTTGATTTGGATATCGGTCATTTTTTCACTATCAGTAGAAAATTAACCTGTTAAAGATGAAGTTGAGTTCTGGTCATGCGATTGCATTGTGAAAGAAACGTTGTGGAATCGACCAGAAAAGGTTGATGTTCTAGCATATAAGAATTTGTGTGTATTGCAAGGTTCTGGAATCATCAAAATGATAAGAAATAATTTGGCCAAGTCTTGGTAAAGTTACAAACACTGTACACAGAAAGATGTATATGGGACTACACAAACACGTGGCGTAAAAATCCAACCCGGATTTTTACGATGTTACACAACATATTTAGAATATGAAGGCATTTGAAGAGCCATGCTTTTCAGGGAACATGTCTTATCTGATGTTCTTCCACACTTGCAAATAAGAATGATAACGCCCGCAAATTATTTTTCACCTCTTCCTAGAACTCAACCTTCTCTTTAAGGTAAGCTATCGCTTGCCGAGCTGCTAGCTTCTTCAGACCAAAATTGTTCAAGTTACGTCATCAATCAGACAATCCTTTTTTCAGTGATCCAATGGAGAAAAAAAAATCACCAATTGTGGCTAATTATCTTCTCACACATTCATACTAAACATGTGTATTATTTTTGAGCATCTCCCCTCCCCTTGCTAAGTAGTATGAAATGTTTTGTTTAACAAGGATAAAGGTTTTTATATCCACTATGAGCAGTACTTTTGTTTGTACTTCATCTCTTGTTTTCTGTCAGGATAGGATTTATTTTAAGTGTTAAATTCATTACTCATTGATCTTCAAATTGGCAACGATACTATTTTATCTTTTATTGCTACATTATTCTGGTAACATGCAATGTCTCTACAAACAACATCTATGTGTATGAGATTTGTCAACAATTTGATAAAAATTGCCAATTTTGACAGAATTTAATGATTTTGAACCTGTCAACATATTGCCAATTTAAGGTTATTATAGCTTATTTACCTTATTTACCTTATAAAAAATTCCTCGCATCGAATGGGATATGACCATGCAAGCAAAATGAATGCAATGTGTGTAGATATTTTTTCCCTTTCTAAGTTTCTACTTATGCATCTGGTATATAATTAAATATCAACAGATATATATATTTGAAGGGTTCTGAATAAAAAGTTATAGACCCAAACAGCAAAATGTAGAATGATAAAAAAAAATATACATAACCCAGACTAGGATGTGCTCCATCGCTATGGCTATGTTAACTTGTTAAGAGCATTCTCCAATTGCCTCCAAATGTAAAACTTATCGACTTGTAACAGTATATCTTTTCAAAATGAACAAATCTTTGTTCATTATTTTAGTTTTTAAAGGTGGGAACTCGAATTCACACACGCCTTTTTGTCATTATTTTCATTTGCAAAACAGTCATGATCAAATTCTCTGCCCTATTTTACACGTTACCAAAGCTCACTTTACATTATTTCTGCTAAATAATTGTTTTTAAAATTTAAAAAAATCTCTAGGACACATACCAAATAATGAATTTGTTCATTTGAAAAGATTTACTTTTTATTTTATGCCCGAGTATGAGATTTTGGCATGTGCTCAAAGTGTTTGACGCACTTTCATGTAAATATGTGTTATATGTTGCACAGGATACATTCATTAACAATTTCTATGAACTGTGCCCATTTACTTGTCTTTTTTTCTAGCACGGTTTTTGTTGTTGATATGATTTTCAATAAATGTGTGTAAAACATATGGTTGGAGAAAATCAGTGCAATTATTGTTTACTTATTAAGTTAATGGCGAGCAGAAAACAGAGACTCAGAGAGAGAGAGAGAGAGAGAGAGAGAGAGGGAGAGAGAGAGAGGGAGGGAGAGAGAGAGAGAGAGAGAGAGAGAGGGAGAGAGAGAGAGACAGACAGAGGGGGGGGGGGGGGCAAACAGAGACACAGACAGACAAACAGACTGGGGGAACAAAACAAGGGAAAGAAAGAGATGAGCAAGGGAGGGGAGTGACACAAGGATAGCGAGAGAGAGAGAGAGAGAGAGAGAACAACAAATGGAACAAATGGATAGAGAGAAACGGGGAATATAATGGTAGGAGCAGAGATAAAAGAGGAGGGGGAAGAATGTGTGCGTGTGAGTGAGTGAGATATCGCGGGATCGGAGAGACGACGGAATAATGAGAGAGAAAAGAGACAGAGACAGACGTGGGAAATACAGAGGACTTGACGTGTGATAAAAATGCATGAATAATTATGTATAACACACTAGAGGGTAATGGAGGGAAAGAATAATACACAATAGAACAAAAATGGAACAAGTTTAAAGAAATAGATGCTGATGCCTCTATACTACACTGTCGCTCATAAAGGTGGAATATTTTAGTTTTATCCCAATTCATGGAATTATTTTAAAAATTATTTAAAAATAATAGATCTAGATAATAGTATACATTCTCAGATGTTATTGAATAATAACTTGTCAATGTTTGTTTTGCGGGACTGCTAAGGCATGTGTATGCTACTATGCTTATTAACTAGGGGACCTACCCCCTCAAGTCATAAATGACAGCAATGAGGATTAATGCCCCACAAAAGGGCACTAATATATCACATCGACACGGTTTTAATCCTGGGGCCTCACAGTTACGAGGCCATTGTTTTGTCACTGAACCATGACTGTACGCAGCGGGGGCTAGGGTAGGGGGCAGTTTCCATAAATAAAATAAAAAACAGAAAATGTTATAAATCTTCAATAATTTATTGCATTTTACCCTGGTCCCAAACATAAAGAAATCCTCTAGACGGCCATGCATTATGGCTCAAGGCATGGGCACACAAAAGATTTGTTTATGTTGGGAACCGGGGTAAAATGCAATAAATTATTGAAAATTTATTGCATTTTCTGTGTTTTTTTTAATTTATGGAAACTGCCCCCTACCCTAGCCCCCGCTGCGCACAGTCATGGTTTAGTGACAAAGCAATAGCCTCGTAACTGTGAGGCCCCAGGATCAAAACCGTGTCGATGTGCTATAAAGTGCCCTTTTGTGGGGCATTAATCCTCATTACTGTCATTTATGACTTAAGGGCATAGGTCCCCTAGTTGATAAGCATAATAGCATACACATGCTCTAGCAGTCACGCAAAACACACATTGGCAAATTATTATTCAATAAAATCTGAGAATGTATACTATTATCTAGATCTATTATTTTTAAACAATTTTTTAAAATAATTCCATAAATTGGGATAAAACAAAAATATTCCACCTTTATGAGCGACAGTGTATATCTGGAATATTCTAGCCCCCCCCTTGATGCTATTACATCGCCCCCGCCTCTCGTTTCTCTCGATCCTCTCTTCGATTTTTTTTCTTCCCAATCTGTCTTTCAATATTATCGCTCATTTCATGTTGTTGTTTTTCACTTCTATGCCTCGTTTCTCTCAATCATCTCTTCGATTTGACTATCTAGATCAGTTAATGATTAAAAAAAAAAAAAAAAAACTTCATTAAACCGACAGGCGCATTGTCAGTGTAGTGATAGCTTGTTTAAGAGTCTGCAAATACAGACTAGCTAAAAGACTATAACTAAATATAGAATGACCTGCAACCCATGACATATGCCAGGTCAGTTATATGAAACGATGAGTACTTGTATATTACATACATACATGAGTACAAAGATGTCTGACTGACAGTGCCTCAATAAAGCTAGACAACTTATCAGTTCAATCGAAGCTCTCTAACTGGTCTTCTATGAAAATATTCAGCATATCCAGAGCTTCTCCTTTTCCTCATCCTCCTCTTCATATCCTCTTCATCATCCTTTAAAGGGTAACTAAATTACTTTTGTTGATTTGTAATAATGTATACATCACGTATCTTTTGACTTATTGATGTACATGTATGTCATATATTTTATTTTATTTTTTATATTACTTTTGTACTACCTTGGTACTTGGTTGGGTAATCCCTGGGCTGTGGTAGCTCACTCGATCAGGAAGCTATACTGGGAAGGTACTCAGATTTGGTTTTGACGGGGGTGTGCCGCTGAAGCCTCCATACCCCTACAAAAAACATCCAAAAGCAAATGACTTCTGTGACAATATCATGCCAGTTATTCATCAGTCAGTTAGATGAACGAAAGACATTTATATGTCCTTTCCCATCAACTGACCACCTGTTGACAACTGAGCGTTGTATGTTTTTATACGATCAGGGGTGGATCCGGGGGCCCAGGCCCCCACCCCTGCCCCCCCCCAAATAGGTTGTTTTTAATTGAGATGGTAAGTGCTTATTACCCCCCCCCCCCCTTTCCCGCGTATTCACCGGCTGATTCAGCGCTAAATATTTCCCCACGAATTGGGCCCCGGCCCGCCCTCGCCGCCGGCTGGATCCGCTAACCTTCATTAATTTAGTCATGATTATGCTGTATAATTATGTCAGTCCTTTACTTATTAATCAATTTTTCTGAGAAAGAATTTGTTAATTTTCGACTCGGAGATTTATCAATGTGTGTTATTATCGTTATTATTATTATTGTAAATAGTAGTACATGTAGTATATCGGTAGTGGCAGGGGCGGCGATCTTGAGGATCGGGGGGACACGCCCCCTCAATTTTGTATAGAGGGGATCTCCCAGAATCCCCCCCCGGAAAATTTGAGAAGTGCAAAAAAAATGTATAGCAAAATTAATACTGCAACACACTTTTAGGCTCTGGAGCGCTCAAGAGTGCAGCGTTTAGACTAAAACAAATGCAAAAAAAAAAAAAAAAAAAACTTCTTGCTCGGTTGCTACGCTACCTCGCAAAATATCCTTCAAAATGTTCGAGTAAATATTGTAGAAAATCTGTATTCCGATGGTATCACCGTGATACCAACGGAATACCGATTTTCCCTCGCATTTCGCCCCCGGCCCCCCTGTCATGAAAAGTAATCGCTGCCCCTGGGTAGTGGAAGTAGTAGTAGTAGTAGTAGTAGTAGTAGTAGTAGTAGTAGTAGTAGTAATAGTAGTAGGCCTACACGTAGCAGTAGCTACTTTAGTTATAGTAAATTCCTTTTTTTTAAAATGAATTCTACCCAAGGTCTATCTTTCCCAATATCTTATTCTGCTTACAACAGGTTTACCAGTCAGTCAAATCGTAGGAGGTACCGGTCGATAAATATCGCAAAGGCAACTCTTCAGTGCATCTTAACTCCTTTTGAAGTCTTCTGGGCCTTGACAATTGGTGGGACTGGTTTGTAACTTGGCCTGTTTTTAAAAATCGATTCTGCAGACAATAACGTATTGTTGACATAGATAGTATTGTCGTTTTGTGTGTGCATTTCTTCCTCTCGACCTCATAGTTGTTGCCTTTCTCAAAAGCGCACTTTATTTTTTCTTCAAAAGTAACTGTTCTTTAGAGCGAGCGAACACAATAAGTGACGGCATGCATAGCCGGCTTAAAACGTAATTTGAAATACTATAGTGGTTAGGCCTATATTATTATGGTTTCGTGATTATGTCATTGAAAGTAATACTGATAGAAGCAAGAGCTTGTTGTTGACTGGAGGGATTCGTTTCCAAAAATTGACTGAGACTTGAGTAAGACTAATTCATGCTCGCGAAGGTTTCCTATGAAACCAGTGGTGATATGATGCTGTGAAACCTGAAGGACACGGGGGCATAACAATCCCCTAAACGGATCGAGGCTTACTCTAACTTTAAAACACTCCTATTGGAGCACCGGCCTGCAGCCCCCATGGGTTCGATTCATTTAACACAATTTGGAAGATCGGCGAACCAGCTCCGAAGCAGAAATAGATTCAGCCCGGACATACAGCATATATCCTTCTGAATTTGGACTATGTATGATATTTGTTGATGTCATGGACAGACGTTTTTAATAATCTTCGATTAGTGTGCAATCGGATCAATAACTCAGATATCAAGGTAAGAGAAAAAAATATTATAATCAGGCATTTAAGCTGATTAATAAACCAGTAATTATATCGACATTCACGAAGCAGTTAGAAATTGACTGACATTCTACTGTAGAATGGTATATAAGCAATTTGTGTCATTTAAAAAGGGGGAGCATAGACTGTTTAAAGAAAATATAAACTGTTCATTTAATGAAACAGAGGTATGAATCCTCGAATACGCACATTTTTCCAATTTTTCCAATTTCATTCATTTCATTATTTATTCTCTATCTCTCTCTTTCTCGTTCTCTCTCAGTTTCAAAAGTCAGACACAAAATGTGTCTGATGAATATTGATCAAAATAATTATGATACCTCTGATCAGTATAAGAATAGACTGATATTATCTTACACTATATAGGCCTATATCCTTTACCGCATTCTCATCATGTTCATCTGTATCATTTCGCTCCCCCCCCCCCCCCTTCTGTGGGGATGTGGATGGGGTACGGCTTTCAAATAATTTCACTGTATGTTAATCCATACATATTTTGAATGTATGATATTAAGAGCATGTGCCTGTCTATTTTTATTGATTCTTGAAGTTTGCATTGTTATAGCAGGTCTACTAAATATGACATTTTCAAATGAGTAGAACTGATAAAATCTACATGTGTATATACATACCTTCTTTCAATTCGGAATCTGTATTTATAGGGTTCCCCGTAGTGATAAACAGTTCAAAATCCAGATTTTATTTACTGATTACAAAATTATACAGGCACATCGTAATCCTGAACCGATGAAACAGCTCCAAAATGTGGACATTGTTATACTTTGTTGTTGGTGGAGATAAATGTATCGAAGATATGACGCCTACAAGTGGACATTAATCAGTATCTAATACACTCAGTAAAAAGAGAACACACGTGATCTTGATGTTGGTAGAGTATTGATTTTCCTTTAATTTGATATACATGTATTTTTGGGACGGTTATATGTAAATTTTGAACAATAAACACCGTTTCTTATTTTGGTGATTGTATATAGATATATGCTAATAGTTTTCTACCACACATATGCTATAAACGAGCTCTGAAGATTAGAATGTATAGTCATCATATTATGTCTTAATTTCTCATGTTATAGCGACAGTTATGTTTAAATTGTATGATGACATAGTGATCTGTGCATTTACAAATACCATGCTTAAAAAAAACACATAGAGAACACGTCACAATCATATATTGGCATACCTAATGAGATAGACACTCAATTTTATATTCTGCGCCATTATTCTTCATACTGAGGAAACTAAATGGTGCCGCATTTGATATCCTTGTAATGCTATGTATATATATATGGTTCTGATGTTTTTGTCTGTTTTTTTTCTTCTCTCCCGACATGTTCACGTGCCATCAACATGATCAATCTTTTTGATATCCCGGTCGCCGACTTGTCCTTTTGTGTTTTTTGATTTATCGCTCCCATACCTATTCATCCGGCTTTATTGTTCAATAACATTATGATCAGGCGTCATAGACGACAGACCCACGGAGGGGTTACATCTTTAAAAATGCATGCTTTGTGTCATTGTCATGGCAACAAGGAAATGAGCAAGTGCTTTAAAAGCACGTGCATTTTCCCTGTATGCCAATACTCAAGCTATAGTAATATACTAGACTTTACTGTAATGGCTTCTTGTGTACTTTAGGTGTCAGTCGCTTTACCTATGGCAAATACATTACCATATTTCAATTAACCCTTTCCATGCCATGGAAGGCATTCCGCCATAAATTAAAATGACCTATTACAGTTTTGGATGAGCCCCCCCCCCCTCCAAAAAAAATAATAATAATAAAACAAAAAATAGTAATTTGTTTTGTCCTGAAGAAGAAATAAGCACTGTGAATAAATGGTATTGCAATGTTAAAGAATTGAAGGTATGAAATGAGAACGTTAGAAATCAAATAAAGAATAACTAATATCCCAACGTTGTCTCTTGAATGTTCACAAAGGAAAATCATTGACAATATACAGATGAACTAACATATTCAAATTTGATGCATAATTAATAAAAACGAAGGTTCTTCTTAACAGCCCCCCCCCCCCCCGTCCCACAACCCTCCCCTATCTCCCCCGCCACCTAAACCCAATACAATTCTACCTCATGTACATTCTTGTAGTGCGTTACTATGTTTATCCTAGGTGATGCTATGTATAAAGACGGGTCTTTGTCAACACAGGCACAAAAAAAGAAGGACGCAAACACCATACTTTGCGAGCTGGTGAAGCATTCGTTGACATAAGTCTGGACCTTACTCTATTAACAGTAATCCACCGGAACGAGTCTTATAATAGGTTTTTAAATGCCTACAATGACAATCGTGCCGTTGCAACTTTAGCACCTTATAGAAAACGCAGCCCTATCCCCAATGCACCCTCATCACCAAATGAATTATTCTCTCTCTCTCTCTCTCTCTAAGTGCCATATCGTTTGACTTTGGCGATCATGCTGTTCCACAACCGTCGGCTCCTAGCCTTCTGTATTAGTATGATAGTATCACTCCAAGTTCTTTCACTCTTCTCTCTTCCAACAATTTCTGCAGACTGTCCATCCAAAATATCCTCCTTCTTCCCACAATTTTCCCTGTCAAAGCAAGATTCTCTAGGCCTTCTTTACGTGTAATGTGACCCATGAACTTCAACTGCCTAATCAGCATCTCACGTATCATTTTCCTTTGCACTCTACACTCTATTATTCTACAAAAGTTTAATGGAACGTATTCTGAGGGGATTCTCATTTTTCTTCTCATCTTTTATTTTTCATTTGTTTTATTGTTCTTCTTTTCACCTTGATCATCTTCTTTTTTTCGATTCCAGGGATGAATTACAAATATCACCAATGTTTTTCTCTATTTCAGATTCCCCAAAGATAATTTGTCCAGTTTTTCAATGAGTAATAAGACCAAAAATGTCCACTCTCACCCTTTTGATCGGGTATTGATCGGCTAATGTTACTATTTTTAAATCAATATTTTGTTACGTATTGAACGGTCTTACTTGCTCAGTAATTGATTCTCATCCTTTAGTTTATTCCTTATCATCCGTCGCATCAGGAGATAGATATAGCTTTTTTCGTACAGTTAGGTTAAGTAAAAACTTCAATTAAAAGAAAAGTTACCCTAAAATATGGGACTCCTACCCGTTGAATGAAAGAATTATCAAATTATCACAGCATTCAAGAAATGTTTTCAAAACGCATCTTTTCTAACTTCTTTGTGCCGTAGATATATAGGTGAACAAGTGCAAATCTATCTAGCTGGCAGAGTGTGTCCAGGGTGTGACGTCACAATTCCGAGCTCGCCAGCTCGTGTGTTTGGCTTACTTCCGGGGTTCGGGGGTCCGAAAAGGGTTTTGGCAAAACTGCATTTTACGCCTTTCCATGATATCTATATGATTTCTCAGGAAGTTATTCGTGTTTTTCATGAGATAATCTTTCCATCCATATGTTATTTGTTCTAATTATCAGTTGTAATGGATTTTTCTTGGTGTGATTGCTTTAATTGTTTTACAAGTCAGTGTTCCACATTCCATACAGTATCTTTTGTTTCTATGTCAATGAATTCCCTTTGCATCTCTCTTTAGAAAGCACTTTGTAAATTCAACGTTTTTCACATTCGACAGTTACCCATTGAAGCTTTGCAAAATGGCGGATCGCCTGCGTGAGGCGGCCACCCAAAGCATCAGACGGGGCAACGACGGGGTGCTACGGGCATCACAGGGGCTGGTAGACTCGGCATGGTCGTTATATAGAGAGCTACAGGCCGCTCTGCCCGAGTTCGCCACATCCCTGGAAACTAGTCTGCAGATTCTTGGCCAGAGTATCAGTGACGGGCAGAGGAACCTTGCTGAAGGGATCGGTTTATCACAAGGTTAATACAATTCAAATTCAAATTCATGATTGGTTTTATTTCTAAATCATTGAAAATCATAAATAAATGCGAGATTTTATGTAACTAAAAACAACAAAATGATCAGAAAGCAAATCATGAATAGGTGCAGCTCTCTTAGACTACATTTGTGATAGGCTTATTACATGAGAGCAAATATAGAATAATCCTTAATATTGTCTGTCAAGATCCAGAAAAGGTATCATAATATCAGGCGCGGATCCAGGGGGGGGGGGGCCGAGCGGGCTTTGGCCCCCCCCCCCCCCCGCAAAAAAAAAAAAGAGAGAGAAGAAAGGAAAAGAAGGGAAAGAGAAAGAAGAGAGAAAGGGAAAGAAAGAAGAGGAAGAAGAAAAGAAAAGGGGGAAGAAGGAGATTGGGGAAGGCGAAAGGGCCTTGCCTCCCAGGCTGTTGACCCCACCCCCCCCAATCAAAAAAATAAGAGAGAAGGAAGGAAAGGGAAAGAAAAAAGGAAAAGAGGAGATACTGGCGTACTGATAGGGGGGCTTGGGGGAAATCAAATTCAAACGTGGTTTATTTCTAATTCCACAATGGTGGATTACAAATAATGCTGAAATGACATAATTTCCGAGATTTTTCCTCACTTTTTAGTTGATTCCTACTTGTCAGGGCCCGAGGTATGGCGGGGATCGGGAGCCCCGAGCCCCCCTACTTTTTTGAAAAAGTATATTAAAGAGAAATAAAATAGAATGAGAGCAAGAAAGAAAGAATAGTTGAAAGAACTGCCAGTGTTGAAAAATAATGAGGCATCAAAATATGCTCATCTGACCGTGATTAATGCCTAAAACCCCTAAGCTTCCAGGGGCTCTGCCCCCTGGATTTCACCTAGGGCCCTACGGCGGGCCCTTAGATGCTCATCTGACGGTAATTGAATGCCTAAAACCCCTGATATTTTGGGGCTCCGCCCCCTGGACCCCACGCCAAATAGTGACGTGCCAGTCTCACAAAATAATAAGGTATACAAAAAAATGCTCATCTGACCTTAATTAAACGCCTAAAACCCCTGAGCTTCCGGGGCCGGCTCCGCCGCCTCGACCCCCCCCCCCCCCAGGGGCCCTAAGACGGCCCCTGAATCAGACAAGGATTAAGAGTATAGAGAACGATACAACGCATCGTCTTCTTTCTCTAATAATATAATGAAACGTCAAAGCTTCGCGCAGGAGGGGAGGGGGGGGGGACTGAATTCAGACAAGGATTAAGAATCGAGAACGGTACAACGACTCGTCTTCTTTCTCTCATAATCTTATGAAACGTCAAAGCTTCCGCGCTTCGCGCGGGAGGGGGGGGGGGGGGGGGGGGGGGGGGGAACCTGAATTCAGACGAGGATTCAGAGGCGAGAACGGTAATACGAATCTTTAATGATTTAATGAAAGGTAAAAGCTTCCGCGCTTCGCGCGGGATGGAGGGGGAACTAAATTCCGATGAGGATTATTTTCGAGAACGGTACAACGAATCGTCTATTTTCTCTAATGATTTAATGAAACGTAAAAGCGTCCGCGCTTCGCGCGGGAGGAGGGGGTTGGGGGAGAATCTAAATTTAGACGAGGATTATTTTCGAAAACGGTACAACGAATCGTCTTCTTTCTCTAATGATTTAAGGAAATTTAAAAGCTTCCGCGCTTCGCACGGGAGGGGGGAACCTAAATTCAGACGAGGATTAAGAGTCGAGAACTCGACAACGAATCGTCTCCTTTCTCTAATAATTTAATAAATCGTAAAAACTTCCGCGCTTCGCACGGGAGGGGGGAACCTAAATTCAGACGAGGATAAAGAGTCGAGAACTCGACAACGAATCGTCTTCTTTCTCTAATAATTTAATAAATCGTAAAATTTTCCGCGCTTCGCGCGGGAGGGGGAAAACTAAATTCAGACGAAAATTATTTTCGAAAACGGTACAACGAATCGTCTTTTTTCTCTAATAATTTAATGAAACGTCAAAGCTTCCGCGTTTCGCGGAGGAGGGAGGGGGAAAATCGCCCCTCCCTGCACCGACCCCCCCCCCCCCCCGCATTACGTCACTGTTGGTCACCATTACGTACCAATATTTGGCTCGCAAAATTTCAAATTTGGGCCCCCCCCTAAGAAATCCTGGATCCGCGCCTGCATAATATATCGTCCTTGTACATAATGTTATGACCTTAACAATGCCAACCGACGACCTTACATAGCATTGATGCACTCATGCCACATGGGGTCTAATTTCGAGGGGAGGAGTGCAGGGGCGGGGTAAAGGGTGCCTCTCATAATACTTTTAAAAAAAGTGTATTTCAATTGAGACAGACTATTTTCTTAAATATATTTTCATTCGAATATTTCTTTTCCAAATCAGGGCTGTATAATCATAATCGTCTTCAAAAGTACATTGTTTTTTATCCACATTTTGGATTTGCTGTCTTGTTAATGCGTCGATGAATTATGCCAATCAGTTGCATTCAACGATATTATTTTTAATAAATATTTTTTTCTTTATTTACTGCCTCCCTTTCGGATTGCTCAGCCTCGCAGGAAATGTTGGAACAACTCTCACCCATCTTATGTGACGTCGGCAGGCATATCTTCACCATGGCAACGAGCGATTCCAGTCTGGAAAGCTTTTTACTTCCGGATAACACCGTATCCATCCGGGTGAAAACAAGGTTGAACGAACTTAATCAAGTCGCCAAGGTAATAAATCCATGAGGAGTTTTGTGCTTTCTATATAGAGGTGTTGTGACGTAGTGAATACGTCGTCGGACTGTGAATCACAGAGTCCGCGGTTCGAGTCCCGCCGCGGCACTAATGTCCTTTGGCAAGACATTAATCTACACTTGCCACTCTCCACCCAGGTGTTAAATGGGTACCGGTAGGAAGGAATTCGTTAAAATGCTGTGAGCGTCGAAATCGGCAGCCTAGCATAGCCGGGTAATGTTGGAGCGCCTTGAGGACCTTGCAAGGTCGATACGTGCGCTATATAAGAATCCAACAATTAATATTATTATTATTCCGAGAGCAAATAACAATAATAACGTCAAACGAACAAAAGAAAACAAAGACATACATAAAGCAAAGTAAAGAAATGGACAAACACAAACAAAATCAAAGAAACAAAAGATAAACAAAGAAACAGAAACAAAATGCAATCAAAATGTGACTTTCCCGATTGATAGACATCACAATCTTTCTCGCCTTTGACACTCGGTATGCAACATATTTCATCTTTAATTTCTACTCCCCAAAAGAAGATTTTTTTTTCTACATTTGGGAATTATTTCAAATAGAGATGTACAGTTCTGGAGAAAAATAAAAGATATCCCTCAATAATAATTGCAAGCCGTCTGCCGCTTACTCAACTTTGCTTTTTTAAATTTATTTATTTCGTTTTATTTCAACAAGATAGCCCCATCAGAAGTTAAAATACTTTTATACTAGGGGGCCCTGCATAGCATAACAATGCATATAAAGACATGCATATACATGAAAATATCATCACCTGGTGAATAGTGAACATGATATACCAGAAAGAATACATATTAAATTTCAAATGTAAATGTAAACTCAGCAAGTAAAAAAAAAATAAAAAAATCAAGTCTTCAAGAAAATCATACATGCTTTGACATGTCTTGACCGAAATTCATCTTCTAACGACTATATTTTTTGTAATTAAATTTCACTAACATTGAATAACTTCATTTTCTCTTATAAAATGTAATATACAGAATATGAACGATCACATTTATACATTACAAAAATGAAGGAATCGAATTTTTTTTTTAAGAATTGGGACAGCCAAATTATATTGTAGGAATATTGCTCAGGGACATTTGTGAATCAGTGAGTAAAAACTCATTATAATGAGTGAAATGGGATATAAAACCCGAAATAATTATGTTATTTGTTCGTTTGTTTCTTTATTTTTCAGGAATTATCAGCCGAACTATCAACAAACGACAGACGAAGAACAAACACAAGATTATCGCACGTACAAACAGAGGAAGGTAGCACGTACTGTATGCTCATATTGTAGTTTTCTATGATTTAGTATGTTGGTTTAATTTGCCTTTCTTATTTCATTTTTTAATTTTTTTTTAGTAAGGGCGGGAGGATATTGTCTTGTTCCTTGCAAGGAAACTGAATTATGGTAAATAAAATGTGGCACAATATCGTCATACATGTGAAAAACTAATATCAATAGTATTAGAAGTTGTACAAACAATGATATGGATGAGAAGACTACTAATTATACTAATAATAGTTATACTAATAATGATAATAATAACAATGGTAAACATGTACATAATAATGATACCAATAACTGATCATAATTATAACAATGATAATACTCTTACTACTAATTCTATTACTATACTACTACTTTCACTACTACTAATAATTATACTACTAATAGCAATAATTATAATAGTTTTGGGGCCGAGGGACGCTTTAAAGGTGGTCTTCCTGATTATTATTACCCTAAGCAATTGACAGGTACCAACGTACACCTGGGTATAGAGAATGGCAGGTGTGGAAAAATGTCTCACCAACGGACGTTACCGGACAACAAGAAACAGCCGCGGTTTTTCTTGTCCGTGTAAATAAATGGGAACTGCGCGCGACAAAGTCTCTGCGTCTGAAACAGCCTGACATGTGAAGCGTTTTGTCTAAGTTAACCGCCGCAGTTGTGCCGCGGTTGTGCCGCGGTTATGCCGCAGCATATCTAAACAGGCCTTAATTATTTATTTTCCTCACAGTGAAGAACTTCTGGGAAATGATTTTCGATGACAAAGAAGGGGTAAGTTTTAACATTTATTTTTTTATTTTTAATGAATTAAAAGATTCTTTAATACAAAAAAATTATTAATCTATTTGTGAAGGGCAAAAGAAAAAGACCGTTGTGTCAACCAAAGAAATACTTTAGGTATATTTTTGAGACTCATGCAAGCAGTGAAAATTGTCATAAGGATTAATACAATACAATACAATACAATAAAGCCATTTCTATAGCGCTCTTACAAACTAACTGTTGTTTCGCAGCGCTTTACATAAAAAGTTATCAAAGAATCTATTGTTGATCATGGTCAAAGAGGAGAGTTTTGAGACATTTTCGGAAGACATCCAGCGAAAGTGCTAATCGAATAAAACATGGAAGCTCATTCCAGAGTCGAGGAGCACATAAGAATTTTGCCAAGTAATATTTGTCCCCATGGGTCATTTCCCCCTTGTTCAAGCACTTCGGATTGATGTCATGTCAATATTCCAGAATAGTTTGTTAATGACTTTCATATATATCATAATTCTAAACACCTTTAGTTATTACCAATTTGGAATGACATCAGAAAACGACGTCATAGACCTTCATCTCATCTGGAATAGAATGGTTAAAGTGTCCCTGGTAGACGCCCAATCTTCTGCAAATAATCTACCCAGTGGAAGGAAAACTGATACACTGTTGCCCAAAAAGTTGGAGTATTTTTTTCTTTCCTCTTCTCATATGTGGATTGATTGTGACAATATGCTTTATTGTTGATAGATAAAGTTAATACCGTCTCAGAACTTAAATTTGTAAAGGTATAGACCGGTAGTGGTAACATTGCGGTTCAAGGGTTTTGGGTGCAAAATATCCATTCACTATTGTTTAGATGGCAATAATTCAACCTAAATTCGCGAAAAAGCAGAACTATATGCCCAAATGTTCAAAGTCGAAGTGCATTCGCGATATCTATCCAGGCCGGATTGATGTGATAATTAACCAAATATATCAATTAGTAGGCGGTTCCCCGGCAACATTTCTATCATCACGTATTAGTCAAAACATATTCGTTCACATGATTGGTAATAAAAGCTTTCAATTCATTTTTTTGAGAGGGGGGGGGGCGTTTCCAAAACTGGTCGATCGATACCTTTAAGGATAAATCATATATTCTCAATCAATTCATGAAGGGGGTGAGAAAACTTTATGAGCAACCGTGAATATCATTCTGTTCGAAATTGTTGTCACAGGTTGATTTGCGTGAATTCTACGAGACGATATGCGCAGTCATCGGGAGAGAACCACGATGTCCTCTTGACAGACTTGCCTCGTTCTTCACCTGTAAGTATCACGAAATTCCTATATCATACTCGTGTAATATTCTTTCGACATTTTTACAACATTTATCACATTACGTAGCTTGCTAATCTGTATAAATACTATGTTGATTTCGTTTAAAGCTATTCTATTTATTTGTAGTTTATTTGCAGTTCCCTGCCTTGGATGCATGGACCATTAATCGGGTCAATTCCTGGGCTTTTCTTATAATGATCTCATCTTCTGTGTATGTCTTTGTCAGATAATATATGTGTTCCTTTATTGCTCAAGTATCAATAAAAGTGATGTACCAAAAAATGTACATATAGTTAAGCGTTAGCGACAAACACGTGCGGTTTTAGAATAATAACGGAGGGCTGGGGAAGGAGGGCTAGAGAAGAATTTGTGTTCGTGGGTGACTGAACCCCCGCCCCCCTCTATAACGGTTTTTGGTTGTAAAGTCATGCACTTCTTTGGTGCCAAGCGATTTATGTGTTTTAATTAAAAAAACATTTTATGTTCAATTTCAAATCTTTGGGGGAGATAGGCTAACATTTCTAAAGATGAGAAGATGCCCTCGTGGAACACTTGCCCCTCCCCCTCCCCGATTTTGTGTTAATTTGTTTTGTTTTGTTTCGATTTTACAAATATTCTGTTACCTTTACCCAAACCCACTCTCTGTAGACGAGGAATCATGGATCTGTTTGTTTACAAACGTACACATTCGCAAATAACTAAATATGATTTAGTTATTTTTTCTTATGCCAAAATGCATGTATTTTATTATTCTTCATATTTTGGATCTTGCATTTCATTTTTATGCGGTGGCCCTTCCATCAGTTCTCGGAAGCTTTTATTCAATATGTTGCAATTTGTTTGATATATACTATATGTATATGTTCATTGTGATGTTCGTTGTGTCCTTTTCGTTTTAGGTGACTATATCGACCCCCTAAATTTCGATCGGTTTGTCAAAATCGTCGACGCGAACAACGTGCAAACAGCCCACAACAAACTACTTACAGGCACTGCCACCAATGTATCCCAGTTCCTTAAAAGCCAGATTAGGATTGGTCACTTACGAGACGCAATACCCCAGGGGGACTCAAACGAACCAATCAGGGCGCTCGACTCCAGGACACTGACGTCGAGCAATGGTTCCTCGACATCGTCCCGCCTCGCGCTGTCGCCACGGAGTGAGAATGGTGACGAAAGCATGACGTCAGGGCTAAGCAACCAATCAAATGTTTCCGGCTCAGCGTGGTTGAAAATCAAAGTGGAAAATTGGTTTCGAGAAGTAAGCAGACATTTTTCTTTTTGATTTGTATGATTTCAACATAATCAATCAGTGGCAGACCTAGGATGTGTGTGTGTGTGTGTGTGTGTGTGTGCGTGCGTAGGAAAACGCCAGCAACCGCGGACCACTCCATAGAAAACTACCTCAAACCGCGGACGTACCTGCAATGGGGGACCGTCCACGGTTGCGATACCGGTTCCGCCGTATCAAATTTACGACGTAGGGGGCGTTTGAATATTAGATGTCACAGCGTGTAGGAAACATCGACTGGATCAGTCCGATGTGTATCGCGAAATGTCACAGCGCCCCCTTTTGACTGCGCGGGAGAGGCGCTCGCTACCTGGATCATCCCATAGGAGGTACGTCCGCGGTTTGATGTAGTTTTCTATGGAGTGGTCAGCGGTTGCTGGTGATAACCTACGCACACACACACAAGTACTAAACTTGGTCCACGGTTGACAGCATTTCCCTGTGGTGTGTTGGTGTGTGTGTGTCTGTGGGGGGGGGGGGTCAAGTGAGGTTCATGTGGAAAATAAATACGAGAACCCTCCAAAACCCCCTCCCCCTTAAACAAAAATAGACAGAAATAGAAACAACATACACCAAACATGTTTCCATGGATGTGTGGTTGTATATTCGTGTGTGTGCGAGCCTTTGCCTCACATAAACAAAAGAAATGTGAGTTTTTTTTATTTTTTAGAGGAGATTGAATATCAATTCACTCGAAATTTTTACAATAAACCAGAATTGAATTGAAATAAACTACAAAAAAACTTGATAAAGGTGTTATCTTGTATATTCAAAATATTTGTTTTTTTTTCTCTCTCTCTCTCTCTCTCTCTTCCTCTCTCTCTCTCTCTTCCAGGTGGACCGTCTTTACAGGTGAGAAAACTGCCACTATTTCTTTTCCTTTTTTGAGGGGGGGGGGGGGGGTATTTGGTGGGGGTGTTTAGAGCTACTCAATTTATGTAATGAAATAAAGAAACAAACGTTTAAATCCTAATTTTTTAACAACTACTGTCGAAAAATCAACCTAATACAATAGCCTTGTGCGTCACGCATTGAAATGTGCAAACATGACAATGACCTTTTACGTAGTCCGAACATGATTTGATTGTAAGATACTATAGTATAAAGTCAGACAGAAATTTCCCCCGGAGCTGATTTTTTGTTGTTGATAATAAGTGTGGTCGTATTTATTGTTCATTTCCATTGTATTGTGTTAAATGGGATTAACATAGGCCTGATTGTGAATGTGAGCACTTTTTTTGGGGGGGGGGGGGGGGTCCTAGAAAATTAAAAAAATTGCACCCCCCCCCCCCCGAAAAGGTGGATCCGCCACTGGCGCTATATACAAACGTACATATTATTATTGAAACTGCATTGTTGTTTTGATCAAGGTTCTTCCACGGGGACATCCCCAAAGACGACACGGAGGCCCTCCTTAGAGGGCGCCTTCCAGGTACATTCTTGCTCCGTTACAGCTGTGCCAACCCCAGTCGTCTCTGTGTATCGTTCGTCCACTCAATACCGATCAGTGATAACTATAGCTGGAAGGAGCAGGTCCACCGACGTGACGTCATTCTGCACCATGAGCTCCTGTGCACAAGTAAGAACGCTTTAAATCCCGTTTGTACTAGTTTGGCTAGGAGGGATTAGACCACCCAGGGTTGTCACTGACAGGTTGCTATCTCATCGACTAAGCTCTCAACTAACATAAGAAAAAGAGGATCATGGGGGACCAATGGTCACCGATTAGGCATTGTTTCTATATAGAGGGAGCAAGTAGCTATACAAGTAGTACAGTGGAGCTTTAACTCTTCACTTCTCTACACGGTCGCTCGTATGACAGACGTAGATGACAGAATGCTTTGCGCAACAAGTGGTTTTCAAAATAACCCATTTCTGGTTCTGATTAGCTCCGTGACTTTCATGTTATCACCTTTGGCCCTCTGCATAAAACTTAACATGGATTGTAACTTTGCCATTATTTGTAACTACCATGGCAACATCACTCAACAGCCAATCAAAGCAAAGTTTGCATGGAAGTTACAATTTATTAATGGCAAAGTTACCATCCGTGTTAAGTTTTATGAAACGGGACCGGTTTCAATTAATCTTACACTGGAGACTATTGGATGATCTATCCCATGATAAATACAATGCAGCACATGGATATCATTTGTGTGGCAAAAAGGAATTGAGCTAATGTTGTACGCTACTGTATAGTTATTCATCTGTTTTAATTCATGTCTTCTTTAAAAGCAGGATAGTCCTGTTCGGAGCCTAGCAGACCTGCTTCCCAAGGGAGCCCTGTGGACGTATACATTATTCACCAGGTCGTCGTTTCACGTAACCGTTTTAAGTACAAGTTCACCGACATCCCATTGAAGCCCATGTTAAAATATATTTAGCACGTGCGTTTCAATGGTTCTCGGCCAACTTGTTCATATGACAGTTTCGTGAAACGCTTCCCAAACGTTTCACAAAGATTCTAAGTCGAACTTAACTCTAAGTTGGACTTAAAAATTATAGAGAGCCATTTGTAGCCTGAAAATAAAGTATATTGAAAAGCAAAAAAATCAAGTATTTTAGACTTTTTATAAATTCCACATCAAGAACATGAAATCTCCTTAATAATAGAAATTATGAATGAATTGAATCAACAAATTTTGATGCCTTTTAAAATAACTTTTACACCATATTTTCATAGATGCTCACGGCTTTCCATGATTATGAAGTCTAATTTAGAGATAAGTTCTACTTAGGATCCTTGTGAAACACCCCCATGATGTGATATTACTCGTACCAAAATAATGTCCGATATTGTTTCATTATCAGATGTGAAGGAAATCAACAGTCCAAGACAAGGAGGCGATATAAGGAGACGATTCAGTTGCGACGATCTCAGTCCACGAAGAGAAAAGAAAGCGGTACCTAATAGGCAAAGAGGTAATGATTACCATATTTGCTAAGTCTAGCGCGCTGTAACATCAACATTTATGAACAATGTGTCCTTAAAATTTACTGTAACTCCTTAGAATTGGTCATATATTCTTCAATCAATCACCAATTAACATGAATTGTAACTTATGTGGTGCGTGGTGTAACACCACATAATAAAACGAATTACATGATTTACAATAGGAAATTATATTTGAAAGTTAGTGTGGAAGAGAATTTTGTAAAATCAAAGATTTATGTATTTTGTTATAGGGTGAACAAAGCAAAACAAATGAAAAACAAAGAAAATGAGTACTAGATTTACGTCACTTCCTCTTTTGTGTAACAACTCACCTTTTGACATTAAATAGAATGACACAATTTACATATTATATCATATACGCGATTATGACGGTCAAGTGTGAAGCAATTTGAACAGGTGCGGTACACAATTTACTTTATAAACAAAAAAAGTACCTCAGTGTACTTAATACTTCTGAATTGTCATCTTTTGAAAGGTTAAGTAAATGATCGATTGAATACCAATGAGTGTTATGTGTGTTTAATGGTGAAAGGCTTACTTAACCTTTCTGTTTTCAATTAAGCAGAACCTGTTGTGGGTACTTATCTTGTTTGCCCGTGTAGAGCCCATTCATTCAAGTATTGACCCTGAAGGTTATATCATTATCGCAGAAGGCGTCCTTAAACATTGGAAATTTTGTATTATAGTCTTTCCCCTATTTCCCCCCCCCCCTCTCTCTCTCTCTCTCTCTCCCATCTCCCTCTCGCTCTCTCTGTCTCTCTATCTCCTCTTTCTCTCTCTCTCTCTCTCTCTCTCTATTTCTCTTTCTCTCTTCATGTATGTGTCTCTTTCTCACACCACACACACACACACACAATTCATTTTTTTCTCATGTGATTTTATTCTGTTTCTGTATCTCACACGCACATTAAAACACAATCATACGTATACACAAATACACACTATCTTTGTATCCTACTTCATTTATCGCTCTATCTATATCTTCAACACACACAATACGTGAACGCGCACAATCATACCCACATTCTACCGACAAACACATACACGTGCGCTCTCTCTTTCTCTCTTCCTCTCTCTCTCTTTCTCTGTCTGTCTCTCTCTGTTTCTCTGTCCCACAAACAACTTCTCTCTCGTCTTGTGCTGCTTATATGGCAATACATCTAGGAGCTCCCCTTTCCCAGTAGTGTGACGATTATTACAGGCACCCTGGTTTGAGAATGCTATTTTGATATACATGTACATTATAATGTCTTTTCGATCGCTTCTTCTTTCTTTTTTCCCTCCATTCGCAGCGTTTAGTGCCCTTCATCACTTGTTGAAATCGGGTGCCTTGCTTGAGGAGAATCTGAAATAGTCCGGGAAGTTTCTTCAACATTTACAGAGATCGGGCCAAATATTCGTGAACTCGATGAATGAACATCATTTTGAACGAACGCTTTAGGCGCCATAAATGCTCTGCATAGAGGCCCGAATTCACAAAGGAGGTTGTCGACAAACCTTGGTTTTCGTACGTCATATGACGCGTTTTGACGCATTCTTACAAACCGGGTTTGTAAAAACGCGTAAAAACGCGTCATATGACGTACGAAAACCAAGGTTTGTCGACAAACCTCCTTTGAGAATTCGGGCCAGAGAGTTTGGGTCAGACCTAATCACCATGCGCAATTCGAAGAGTAAATTGTGCATTTTCAAATTACGCCAAATCAAATCGAGCCAAATCCGAGCTTTTTAGTAGAGTGACCTACTACAATGGCAGGGAAGAGTGGGGTTATACAAAAGGGCGAGAAAAGAGAGAAGGGGGGGGGGGGGGAGTCGGTAAAATACGGGGAAGACCTCCAAGCAACAATAGGCCATTTTCTTAATGTAACCAAATTTAATGCATAAGTGTTTGTGAAGTGCCTAAATACGAATTATTTCATTCACCTAATAGGAATAATGTAATAGTATTTAATAGTATTTTGATAGTCAGAATGTAACTGCATATATCAAGTGTTGCTAGTTAGGTCATTCATAATGTTTGTCCAACCTGGCAACAACTAATGTATGCAGTTTGGATTCTGTCTATTGAAATACTATTATTCTTATCAGATGAATGAAGTAATTTGTATTGAGGAACTTTACAAAGAAGTATGCATTAAATTTGGTTACATTACGAAAATGGCCTATTAATATATGAAATTCGCATTCTTACTATTGAAATACAATTATTTGTAACAGGTGAATTAAATAGTTTGTAACGAGGCACTTAACAACATTTGTGAATTAACTGATTAAGTTACGAAAATGGTCTATTACGTGGGCAGAGGCTTGTAAATTCGCATTTCATTTTTTTCAGAATAAGACCGATGCCCACAGTATTGCAGTGACGCCTTAACCTTATACAATTTGAAATTTAGACGTATATTTTTTTATTGTGAAAATTATAATGACAAACCCTTTGGCCAATGTTTGAGGCACGAGGTGCCACTTTCCAACTTTGATCATTACGACATATCTTGCAGCTGACTAATATGTGAATGATTGTAATGATTGTCATGTTAATTGTAAAATAGCGACTGGCTGGAATGCTCCCCAGGAAGTGGAGAATGTGCATACCTTGGGTGCGGGTAAGCATGAATCCGATGACCGGGTTAATAATATATATCTGTAAAGCGCATTGAGAGGGCCTGCGGTCCTGAAATGCGCTATATAAGGACGAACTATTATTATTATTATTATTCATGTATAATTATTTCTTGTCCGTATACATGTAGGCATATGTTGGCAATTTATTAGTTGCATTGGGTATTACAAAAAAAAAAATGTTTTTTGATATTTTGAAAACTATATTTTTATATCTCAAGAATGTGATAGAGAATATATTTATTTCTGTAAATCGCTTATTTGAGGAGATAACTCCTCATTTAAATCTTTTGAAAATGGTGCATTTATAACGACCGCCTTTTTATTTGTTTTACGAGACATGCTCCTACGACAATTATTGTTTAGCGGCAATTCCCGACACTAACCGAATTCCCAAATTAAACACTGGGCACCAAACTATACCTAATTTTAACCCAAGGCTAACCATTAATCTAACGTCAAACCCCTGTCATTATGAATCTGACAGAATATATATAGCCCATAGCAATTGTCGTTGGTGAAAATATGAGATCACGATTTATGAGTGCTACTGAATTTCAAACACATTTTCTAGTAGTCATTCATGTTATCGTTCGCTTTTATAAAACATGATAAAACACTGAACTATAATTTTCATAGCAATAGAATGAAAACATCTGATTTGTAATCACTGTGTAATTCCGACGACTTAATTTTTATCACAATTTTTGCTGCAATTTACAGCTACGAGTCTCATTCATGACTAGAAATCAAAGGTGAATATTATTTAAAAAACGATTCGAGATTTAACAATCCTAATTAAGGCCCAGGCATTAGTTTTGTTTATTTCTTGCAGAGCCACAGTAGCGGCTTAACAAAAAAGGGATAGCAAGAGAAAAGATTGAACATAAATGTATTTTAGCGAAGCACATGTAGAAAAAGAAGACAAGAACGCCAAATTAAATGCCCCTTTTCTATGTACAGTACATAAATACATACATACATTTTCTATTAAATATTAATTTGTAAAACGATTTTTGTTATTGTATGAAGTATTATTATTTCTTGTGTTTGTGTATATATTTACATGTATGTGTGTGTGGATGTGTGTGTCTTTGTGCGTGTATACAATATTCTATAACCGCGCCTGCTGCGCTTTGTCACATACAGTATGTGTATATGATTTCAAGTCGGTCCACTAACATATCACTTCACTACGTGAAGGTGAGTTGACGGTTACCCGAATATTGATAGCTTATAACAAATAACTTTGATATAGATATAATTTATAAAATCCAAGCTCAAAAGTTCACCCGGCATTTCATAGGGTAACAAATAAGTAGTACGCTTTATAGGGACTTTTAGATTCTGCACGACGAGAACGTGGATTGCCCTTTTAAGGCAATGTGACGTCCGTTAAGGCTCTGGCAATAACGTCACATTGCCTTAAAAGGGCAGTCCACGTTCTCGTCGTGCAGAATCTAAAAGTCCCTTGTGTTAACCAAAAGTGTACGTGTGAAGAGTTAAAAAATATCTTTACAGAAGTGATATTTCAAGCTCACATTTTGAACATAATGTGAAGACATGGAACTAATAACATTAATGTTGGTAGTTGGTACACTTTAATAGTCCCGTGGCATTTTTTTAAGTTACACTGGACTTATTTTTTCTGTAAATTGACAAGTGCTTTGTCGACACACCACTTCTGCACTTCATGGCACTCCTTGCAGTTACTCTCTTCACCTACCATCCCAGTAAATACACTTCAACAAGTGTAAAATAAATATCTATTGTTGGCTGCGTACTCGCCTCAATATTCCGTGACTAAATGTATAATTATTACAAACGCTACACTCTCTGTAAAGAAACGGGGGAATTTCTGGTTGATGTTTGCTGTCTATAAACGAATTTAAACGATTTGTCACGATTTGAATAGTTGGTAGGGCCCCGTTGCATAAAAATAAGCATTGATGGTAACTTTGTTATTAATCAACGTCAATAGAAACCTTGATTTGTTTGGCTGTTTAGTGATGCTGCCATTATATGGTAGTTATTATTGATGGCAGAGTTGTTATAAATGGTATACAAATAATGAAAGGTTATGAGTTCAATAGTGCGAATATTTTCATGAGTTGAAAGATTAACATTCTATTCAACGAGGCGTCAGCCGAGTTGAATAGAATTAACGTTAATCTTTCAACGAGCGAAAATATTCGCACCATTGAACGAATGAAAAACATTCATTATTTTTTTTTATACAACATCGAAGAAAATCTAAAAGAACGTTAATCAACAAATTATGCTTTACTCCTTATATTAAAGATAAATTAAAGTTGGGGTCAAGCCTTCTCGATTACATTCAGAATGCCTTAGCGTCACATACACGCAGGGATACGCGCGCGCACGGCTGAGAGGTATAACCAAAAATGCACGACCGCGCAATATAACATCTATTGAATATCATGTGACCAACAATCCTCCAATCAAATGACAAGGATCTACGTAGGTGTTGTATAATAAGTTTTATGCAACGGGGCCGAGCATTACCCGCAGTTCATCAGCCGGACAGTTTTATCATGCAATATAAATTTAGATATCAACATCTTCAGCAATTCAATTCAATTAAATTCATCAATAGCATAACGGTTTATTAGGCCACATGGTTTGAAGCAGTAGACTGAACTGCAAATATAAACACGGGATAAACAATTAACATTAACATACAAATTTCATAGCACTATTTATTAAGTTAAAAAATGTTTTATAACTACGATTATCATTATTATTATAGAGATAACATACATTGTTAAAATAGCTTGGAATAGTTATTTTCAAATATTATAAATAAAATTGAATAACTACCAAGTTATAATTAATTAATGAGACCAATAAAAAAAAAAAAAAATGGTACCTGTCATTCAGAGTTTAAAAAAAATGAATGCATTATGAAATGCTGTAAAGGATAAAGAAGAAGAAAAAAAGATATATTGCTAGTTACAAGTTTTCCACGACGTACATGAAATAAAATTGTTTTTTGACAAATCGATATGTCAACAACGATAAACAATAATATATTGATCGTCATCACAAAGACAAGTCAGTCTTTTTTTCTAGAATTCGTTTAAAATCTGAATAACATACTTGTGTTCGTTATAAATATAAGTCATCAGGAAACATGCACATGTCAATACATGCACAGAGGCATCCAAATATGTCAAAATTCTAAAGAATTACTATCCATCCAATTTTCAAAATTTCCCAAAACTTTGCATTACTTTAAAAAATGGGAAGGGTCATAGCCGTTCGAGATTTGGGGCAACTCGGGATAAATTTTAACAATTAAAACTTTAACATTTTCCATTTCATGAGAGAAAACGGTGGGGAGATGGGAGAGGGGCACCATCCCGACTCTAGCGATGCCCACGCATGATTTTGACAATAAATAGCTAAATAGATTTTTTTTTTTTTAAAGGTTGAAAAGTACGGCAGATCAGTATTAATGTTACTCTTTCGGAGGGTGCTGCTATGACTGTTACACCTAGCATTGTTCAGGTACGTGATTGGTACATCATGGGTCGAGAGGGGGGCAAGAGCGGGTCAAACACCATGTCCATGCATGTAAGCAGCACAAGGGGAGCAATCAAAGACCATGAAAGACCATGAAAGTTAAACATGGCCGAGAAGCTCTCACCGAGATACGACAGAGTCCCCACAGCAAATAGCACATATCGGGGAGAGAACAGGGAAAAGGTAGAGATAGAGACAGACTAGACAGAGAAAGAGAAGGGTAAAGTGTGTGTGTGTGAGAGAGAGAGAGAGAGAGAATTTAAAAAAAAGAGAGAGAATATGAAAGAGAGAGGGGGTAATAGAATGTGAGAAAGACTGAATGAGAGTGGGGTGTGTGTGCACGATCGAGAGAGAGAGATAGATAGATAGAT